ATTAATATTTTAATTAGATCATAATTACTAGTCAACCTCAAGGTCAGTTTGAACCACAAGGTTGACAGTTCAAACTCACCAGCTGCTCCTCGGAAACCTTATACAGAGTTGCTGAGTCAAAATCAACTCAAGAGCACTTAACAACAACAAAAGACACAAGGTATTAAAGCAAAGGTTGGAACATTTTTAAGTCCATTTATAGATATATACATATATAAAGATCATTCTTTACAGTGCCTTTGCAAACAGCTGTTCCTCAGAAGTCCTAAACACGGTAGGGTTGCTATGAGTCACAACTGATTTGACGGCACTTAACAACAACAACTTAACAAAGAGGCTTAGTATTTCTGTTCTAGTTAACTTTGCTAAAAATATAAATGCTTCTTCAAACACGTGAATTTCAATCTTAAACCAAGAGACTCTTATATTTAAATCTATTCCTAGCAATAATAATGCAAAAATGATGCCTGAACATTTGGTCTCCCTACTACTCCCATAAAGATTTATACCCTTGGAAACCCTGTACAAGGTCGTTATGGGTCGGAACAGACTCGACAGCACTTAACAACAACAACCTTACTTAGGCTGTCAGTCCTGACAGTTTGAAAGTAATTGCCCAAGAGTAATACTCCGTTTTGACATTAAATATTTTTATGTTATCATCTCACCTTCAAGTTTTCTAAGAATGCTAAAATTCAAGTCAAGAGAAAATCTAATCCAATGAAAGGTAAAGATGATCTTAGTTATCACTAGCTATTTTCCTTTTTATATCATCTGCAAAATTACATTTTAAAATTAAACTGTAAATAAAGGGCAACTTACCAAAATGCGTTGAATCAAACTTCATTTATAAATCAATTGTCTTCCATTTAAATATTATAAAAGGTTTTACAGTTTTTATGTTGGTCAGTAAAACCTACTTTAACTTAAAATGTAATAATTATAGTCCTACCCATCTTTTCTAATACTGTCTCTATGGAAAAGAAACACACCAAAATTTACCTGGACGCAGCAGATACACATCTTCCTCCATCCCTAGCCAAGGTCAGTGACGAGAAACCCCTTTTTTCCTCTCGCTACAGGAAGGGGAAAGGATAGGAAAAGGATACCATGGGGGTTATGAGGGAAGCTCTAGAAAAACGTGAGGATGCTGAGAAGACAAAAAAAGATGGGCCTTCAAGAGCAAAAGCTCCTGCCAACTCACACTTCTCCCAAGTCTAGTGGGTCAAGCCAAAGCTGAGAGCATCAACTTCCACTAGTAGGGGAGGAGGAACCAAGAAAAGTTTATTATTACCCTCCCCTACTTCTGAGGGCTGCTTCAGATGGGTCCAAGTCAAGATTCTTAAGTCAAATGTTTTTAGGCAATAACTTTTTTTTTCCCTTTTAATTAGAATTTGTTCTCTTTTGTATTTGTCTGTCAATCTAGCCAGTGCCGTATGTTTCTATAAAACCATGTATAAATAAATAAACTGACCAAAAACAGATGCCTACATACACACATATACACACACACAGTAAGGCTCGTGAAAGCCGGAACCTGCTTAGATGGCAACCTGTAAGAGAAGGAAAGCTGATGTTTTCCACTAAAAACAGCAACAGAAAAGTAGTCAGAGTGCACCGTCAAAGCAGAAAACCTGCAAAAGCTGGAAAAACAAGGTAGGCCCATTGCGTTCCAGCTTTCATCGTTCCAGCTCTCATCGGCTTCACCGTCTATCTTTTCTATTTTGACAAAAAAGTCTAATATCACCTAACAAGTAACTTCTATCTTTTCTATTGCTATAGGAGGGATATTTGAAAAGTTTATGGGAAAATTCCATTATCTTTTAATCCCATTCCCCTAGAATATAATTACATAGTATGGCACTGTGGGTTAATGCGCCACACTACAAAGCCGTTTTTGAACTGCAAGGTTAGCGGTTTAAGCTCACCAGCTGCTCCTTGGAAACCTTATACAGGGTCGCTATGGGTCAGAACCGACTCAACGGTACTTAACAACAACTGAAAGTAACTCTTACGAATAAAAAGACAAATTTCAGTTTCAACTACAAAACCTCTCACCCTCTAACATTTAGAAGGGAAAAAAATCCAAATATACTTAAATGCTAAGAACAAAAGCCTTAAAGTACATAGCTAAATTATTCAATATAATGTCAAAAAACAAATTAAGGTTTCACAGATTATCAAGGAAATCATAATAACTGTCAAGTTTCTGGCTTTTCTCTGGTTCCGAAAAATCCTAAGGTATGTTAGATTTGAATTGCGGCTCTTGTATTCACCAAAAAATGAGATTTACACATCATTGTTGTTTATTCTCAGAAAAGAAGTGGTAACTCTCCTGCCCAGTTTTGTATTTCCTTTACCCTCACACCACATCTTGTCAACAGATGAAAATAGTTATAGTCCACTACTGCTGTAGCATCTGTGCCACTATCCTCCTTGCTTCTGCTGCATTATCTTAAACTTACTCCATATAAATGAAAACACTGCCTTCATTTAGTGCTGAAGATGTCTTAATTCAAGACCTTGGAAGGAGACAGTAGTTGTTAAGTACCATCAAGTTAGTTCCAATTCAAAACAATCCTGTAGAGGGTTCCAAAGGAGTAGCTGGTAAATTTGAACCATCATCTTGCAGTTCAAACTAGCCTTGCACTACCGACAGAGCCACACCAGGACTACAGGATAAAGAAATATATCAGTAAACAGCTAGAAGTAAAGTACTATATAGTATAGTACTAGAGTCAAAGAATGGATCTCATTCCTTTCAATCTCCTTGATCATCAGAGACCAGCATACTATACGGAGCTTCCCAGTAAGCCCTAACTTACAGCATGCAGATTCCTTTCTTTCTTCACTTCAAACCTCTTTCTCCTCAAACACTCTGACAGCTAGCACACATGCATGCACACACATGCTTTTCTTTCCTCCCTCTCGCTATACAGTAGCAGAAAGATATGTGTATATATAACATGCACTATACACAGTTTTTTGGGTGGCATTATAGTATAAGCACAAGACTACTAACTACAAGATCAGCAGTTCAAACCCCACCAGCCACTCCTTGTAGACTACTACAGGGTTGCTATGAATCAGAATGGACTCAACAGCACTTAATAACAACATATACATTTTTAAGGAGCCCTGGGGGCGTTGGGCAGTTAATCATAAGATTGGCAGATAAAAACAACCAGCCGCTCCTTGGAAACGCTAATACAGGGTTGCTATGAATTGGAACCAACTCCACAACACTGAACAATAACATACACATTTTTGAGAAACTCTGGTGACACTGAGCGGCTAACGGCTAACCACAAGATTCAAAACCACCAGTCATTCCACGGGAGAAAGTTTGTCTGCTCCTCGAGCGATTTACACTCTTGGAAACACTACATAAAGTTGCTATGAGTTGGAATGGATTTGATGGCAGTACGGTTTTTAAATAAACATTTTTAGGAACCTTAGCTGCATAGCAGTTTCAAGAACTTGACTGCTAACAGAGGTGGATAGTTGGAACCCACCAGTCACTATGTGGAAAAACATGTGGCAGTCGACTTCCATGAAGACTTACTGATGCTTTGGTAAGTGCCATCAAGTTGGTTCCAACTCATAGCAACCCTGTATAGGATTTCCAGGGAGTGGCTGGTGGGTTTGAACCAATGATGAACTTGCAGTTAGCAGTTCAATATTTATCCTACAGTGCCACACCAGGGCTTACAGCTTTGGAAACCCTTTAAGGGCAGTTCTATTCTGTCCTACAGTGTATGAGACAGAATTGACTAGACAGCAGTGGGTTTTACACACATTGTTACATTTCAACAAAAGTCTCCTATATGCCTTAAATAAGAATTTTGTCACTTTAGACAATTCTTAGGGGACTTCTAATTGGTATGGCATTTCAAGTTTACATTTTAAGGATCCCTCTGCATCAAAAACAAAGCAATGACAGATTAAAATCAGAGAGCTAGGCTTCAAAGTAAGATAATCAGAAACAATGTAAGCACAGTGTTGCTGTTGTTGTTAATTAAGCATAGTAGAGCTAAAGCTGCAAGTTCTCCTGGGCCTTAGTTCCAAAAATGGGTAGACAAGGCTCTTATTCCTAGACCTTATCAAGGACTTAATGTGCATTGTTGGACACATGGTACTGCAGAGAGGTGACTGCTTACAACTAGACCACAGGTGGTACTCCCAGCCCTTGAGGGAACTCCGGGGCCACAAAACAAAAAAGCTACTTCAACATCACTACATATGCCTTCTTTTACCCATAAGAACAAAGAAAAGTTTCTAATAACGCTATAAAAATTAGTTTACACTTAGAAAACTCACCTTTAGATAGACCATTAACTTCTATAAGTAAAAATCAGTTAAAATGTTAAAAATCAATATCAACCTATACAAAATTTCATTCTTAACTATAGTAACTCAATATTTAAAGGTAACTATAGTAAACAATATTTAAAGGTAACCACACTTCCAGGTGAACGCAGTGATAATGTCTACATTTTCATTTTCAACAAAAACTCAGAAAATATCAACTATTTTAAATACTAAATTGAAAAACTTTTGAATATGATACTATAAATTCTCACCTGTGCTTTGACTGTGATCTTTTCCTTCTAGAATGGGATTTTGAACTAGACCTGGATTTTGAACGAGTGTGGGAACGAGATCGACCGCCTTTTCTTTCATTGCTCTTTCCAGACTCTGGGAGGAAAAAACCACTTTGCAGTGTAAGCTCAGAACAATTAAAGATCCCAATTAATAATCAGGCACAAGTGGAATGTACCACATATAGTGCAAGGGGCCTACTCTCTGCACATCCTCCTCCTGTGCAATTATCCTTCAGAAACATCCAAGAAAGTCATTGCATAAACTCGTTGAGTGCAGCCATCCTGCAGCAGTACATATAAACCACATGATTATAAACAGCTGTTCGTAGTATTTTGTTGCTGCCATAATGTAAGATTATAACATGTTTGTAATTCCTAGAACAGTGACTTTAAGACCTTTTTTCATTTACTTTGCTAAAGTGGAAACTTTAACTCTGAGTGTTAAATGTGAAAATGTATGCAAATATAAACCACCATTTTTAGACAGAATTTTAAAATTATTTTGGTTAGCAACACAGAAGATTAAATAGGTGTTCCTATCTTACTAAGAGGGTATCTGTACTTTTTTTCTATAGACCATTGGACTCTTTTCTATTTTTCAAATTAAAGGTTTGAGGTGAAATCTGCTTAACCACGGGTTTTTACATGGTTTATTTTTTTAGCTTCACAGTACCATTATATTTTGCTTCAAGCAAATTAGTCTTGAGCATTAATTCTGCTATTAAAATATAAATAGCTGATTAATTCAAGCTAAAGTGTCTCAATCCAGTACCCTGGGAAAAGACAATGTTTGTGCTAAGTAGTTCTTTGATAAGAACAAGACACTTACTCTTTCTTGAATCTGTCTTCTTTGTAAAATGAAAGGACTGAACAAGATAATTTCTAAAATTCCTTCCAGTTCTAAGCATCTATGATCTTTAACCTGTGACCTATATAATAACACTATGGCCTTACCTGGTTCAATAGCTGCTGAGATAAACGACTGAGCCTCTCGTACTCGTTTCATAACTTCTTCTAACTCCTTAGCTGCAGCCTGAGGTGTCATCTCAGGGGGTTTTACTATTGCATTGTTGGAGTGATTTATTCTAAATTAAAAATATTGGCATATCACAAATGCACACCATATTTCACAAAACATAGAACAATTAAATTCTTATATGATATACACATTTATAAATTTGAGAATAACTTAGAAGAACACAAAATACAGAACAGCCCAAAACAATTCCAAAACCATAATTAAACACCCACCCACACCTCCCATCACATCTTTCTAACAAAGTCAAAAGGAAAGAAAAAATGTGAACGTTAGCTGACTTCTTTAACAATTTGAATAGACAAAAGAAAGTGCTTAGACACATATCTATAATAAATTAAAATCTTGACACCAACATTAAAATGAGTCATTTCTAATTCCTAGGTTATAGGGCTTTGTTGACAGTATTTACACTTTGGGAGGATGAAGAGCAAGTTGCATATTATGTGTATCATTTTAATCATCCCTGGACCATGATAGTGTCAGAAACAGGTTCAAATGAAGACAGCAATGGCAGCTTCTCTGACGCATAAAATAAATTTGGTGTATCTCATTTTACCCATCCTACTGGAGAAGCATCTACTAAAAAGAGTTATTTATCTCTTTTAATACCAGAATCCTAATTAAAACTGTATAACTAAGGCAGTCATCTATATGAAATTCAGACAGAACTATATCTGCCTCAATAATCTAAGTAAAATACAATTTCTGGTGTTGAGTATCTGAAAGGCTACAAAATGTTTCACTTTGTAATTAAGAATACAACCAAACCTTAAAATTCCAATTGTTTGATTTACAACACTTACGTGTAATTATTTTCTTCCTTGGGTATGAATTTATCAGAGTTCTTATGGTTCCTAATCCAACCCACATGTTAAATGGTCCATTAGCCTAAAGTCACAATGCAAAACCAACCTGACTTGTTACAGCTTATGGAAATAGACCTACAATTGTTATATAGGGTATATAAATGTTAAGATTAAATTAGACCTTCTAAAAGAGAAAATAAGAAAGTAAGATAAGTATCTTTCAATACAACTTTAGGAATTTAGAAGCTAACATGGTAAGCAACTCATGCACTTCATTTATACTTAACACAAAGTCTTCCTTTCCGCAAATTGCCAATTACTATTCAAATGGGAAGGGGAGCCTCAATCATATCAAATTACTTAAACACTTTTCAAAACTATTAGAATTTCTTTGTTTAGGGTTTCTTACTTCAGTGGCCTGTCTCCAAACATAACTCCATTAAAAGCAAGGGCCCTTGGTACAGAATTTTGGTCTGCAAATTCCACAAAAGCAAACCGAGTTGGCTGAGTCTCATCACCTGCCATCCGTACAAACTTCACTTCTCCAACTTGTTTAAAAAATTCAAGTAGTTGATCAGCTGTTGTTGTCTAAAGAAACAAAGTGATACTTTAATGAGTTTTATTCTTTAAAAAAATCAAGTAAATGTTACTTCAGTAGCAAATAAGAATTTTCAGAAGGAAAAAAAAGGGCTAAAACTATTCAGTTACTTCTTAGTTACCTGAGAATTCAAATTTCCAACATAGACTGTTCTCCTAATTTCATCAATTTTAGAAGGATCCACATTTCCCATAAGTGGTGGCTGTGGTATCTCTCCAAGTGTTGCAATGTTGGGGTCTAGTGCTGCTGCTGGTATAGCTCCCAAACTGCTAAGTGAAACACCAAGCTATAAAAAGAAACAAGGTCAGCAGTTCAAACCCACCAGTAACTCCACGAAACCCTATACAGGGTCACTATGAGTCAGAACCAACTCAACAGCATTTACCAACAACAATAAAATTCACTGATAACTTTAGAATTCTAACTCCTATTGGTGGCCTAAAAAATTTACATAAAGCAATGCCCTATCTATTCTATCAATCCATCTCAGAACACATACAAGCTACCCCTCCTTGTTCACTACTTTTCATCCATACTACCTACCATTCTGTGTTTTCAACTTGCCCTAGGGCAGGCATTCCACTGGTTGTTTTCCTGCTTAGAAAGCTCTTCCTCTAGCGTCTGTCCAATGAATCAACTCCAACTCTAAGCTTATATAAAGCTTGACTTACTATCATATAATTTACTCTTTTTCCTTCATGAAATTTATTGTATATGTGGTACCTGACTACTGACAGCGTGGTGCTGTAGAATAAGCACTGGACTGATAACCACAAGGTCGGTGGTTCAGACCTACCAGCCTATCTTCGAAAATCCTATATAAGGTCGACAGGAGTCAGAATTAACTCAACAGCAATTAACAGAAACCACCACCACCATTTCAGGAAGGATCCCTGGTGGCACTGTGGGTTAAAGTGTTGGTCTGCTAATTGAAAGGTCAACAGTTCAAACCCACCAACCACTCTATGGGAGAAAGATAAGGTTGTCTGTTACCACAAAGATTTACAGCCCCAGAAACCCTATAAAGAGTCGCTATGAATCAGAACTGACCCAATGGCAGTGGGTTGGCTATTGGGGTTTACCACAATTTCAAGAGTATCAAAATTTGTGACAGTATCTTAATTAATAATGGATGAGAGATCTAGGTCTCTATGAGTCAAAGCTACCACCCTCTGAACCTAGCCTTTCTCCATGTGCTGCTTCTGTAGTCACCTTTCTCCGCACCATGTCTTCTATGATCTAAGGAACTTACATGATTAAGGGTCACACCTTATTTACATGTCTTCTATAATCTAAGGAACTCACAGGATTAAGGGTCACACCTTATTTATTTTTTTTAGCTATAAAAGAGAATTATTATCCAGTTAAACTACACCACAAATAAAATTCTTACTGTTCATTAGCTTTGCATGGATTTAGAACAGTCTTTTCCAGGTATTTCCAGTTGTTAAGCCCTTGACCTACAAATCTCCCTACTGAGTCATGTACTGATAGATTTGAAAGAGTTTTTACAAATCATCTAGTACAATCCCTTTGTTTTTCAAATAGTAAAGATTAATTAGTTCTCATTTAAGAATCTTTTCTCCTCCTCTTTACATCACTCTTCTCTAGCTGTATTGCCCAGCTTGGAAGCAACATGTCACACATACGAGGAGTCCTGGTAGGATAGCGGGTTACAAATTGGGCTACTAACCACAAGTTCAGCAGTTTAAATCGACCAGCTGCTCTCCGGGAAAAAGATGAGGCTTTCTGCTGCCATTAAGATTTACAGCCTCAGAATCTCTATACAAGGTCACTCCAAGGCACACTACCACCACCACCTGACACACATTCTAAAGGAAACACGACTTTCTGCTCCCTTAAAGCATACCGCCTCAAAAATCCTACACAACATTGCTAGGAGTCAAAAGTGACTAAATGGCAGTGAGTTTGAGTCCCATATGGGGAGTACTGGCAGCACTATAGGATAAACATTCTAACCACAAGGTCAGCAGGAAAAAGACAAGGTTTTCAGCTCTCATAAATGTTTGTAGTCTCAGAAACCATATTCAGGGACACTATGGGTCAGAACTTACTCAACAGCAACCAATAACAACAGTCACATATGGCTATTTGAATTTAAATTAATTAAAATTAAATAAATTTTAAAATTCAATTTCTCAGTCACGAGATCAATGCTCTTAACCCCTGAGCTGTAGGATCTTCCAAGTTACACTAGTCATATTTCAAGAATTCAATAGCTACATGAATCTACTGACTACCATATTAAACAGTACAGATGTACACATTTCCATCGTCACAGAAAGTTCTACTGGACATGGTCACTCTGTAAGAATAGAATTACTGTTCTCAGAATAGTGTGCCTTCTAGCCCTGGTGCAAGGAACTATGTTAAGACTCCCTTTTGGTCTTTACGGGAAAAACTATTGGGACTCCAAATATTAATACTTCTGCATTCTGCCATATATAATGGACTCCCTAAGCAATACAATTTTTAAAATAGAAACTTATGAAAGAGTGAACCTTCTTAATGTATGGAAAAGAATATTGTAGGCAAAAGAAATAAATGCAAAATTCTTAAGGCAGAAATAAATATACTTGGCATATCCAAGAAACAATGAGGCCAAGAATACAGAAGTTGAAATAAATGTCAGAGAGGTAACCAGGGCCCACATCACTATGTTGTTGTTCTTGTTAGGTGCCACTGAGTCCATACCGACTCACAGTGACCCTATGCACAACAGAATGAAACAATGCCCGGTCCTGGGACGCCCGGTCCTGGGACAACCTCACAATTGCTACCACGCTTGAGCCCACTGATGCTGCCATTCTGCCAATCCATCTGGCTGGGGTCTTCTCCTTTTTCTTTGACCCTCCACCTTACCAAACATGATATCCTTCTCCAGCAACTGGTCCCTCCTGACAATATGTCTGAAGTATGAGAGAGTTTGG